TTCCAACAGCAGCTTTGGAGTATTTATAGGACAGAGTAACAGCGTTGGTTTCTAAAGTAAATTCTTTTTCTTTGGTTGGAGTGAGTTCTTCACACCTGATAACTGAAGAAAAAGGAATATCTGTTATTAATCAGTTACACAAAATTTACAGTAATCATTGAATTGAACATAGTTTTCTGTGTAGGTGAGCAGACCTGTGAGAGTGAGAAGAATCAGAGGAAACACACAGTGATGTAATGACAGCATGTTGAGGAACATAAAGTTTGTTTTGTGTTGAACTCTGTTGAATGTGGAGGTTTTTCTCTCTTCTATAGTTCAGTAACAGCTCAGCTCCTCCCTGAATCTCTGCTCCTCCTCTCTGCTCTGTGTTTGCTCTGCTCTCAGTTACACTCTGGGATTCATTCACATCATTAAAAACTGTGCCTATGCCTTTTGGTCAAAGACAGTAATTAGTTCAGGACATGATTTAGTTACATAAAGGTTATAAATAAGTGTGTAATTAATAAATATTGTAAGTAAATTTATTCTAAAATGTTTTGGCTTTGAAATCTGATCAGAGGAAGACGTGTATCACAAATGATCTCTGTTGTGTTGTGCATTGAGCAACAGTAGCGTTCAGGCCATGAACCTGTCTTTGGCGTATCTTCTCCGGTAATGTTGTGAACAAATGTTTCAGCAGCAATAAAAGAGGAAACAGCTCATGTACATGCTTGTGCAGAAAAAAGCCTTAAGAAGGAAAAGGTTTATAAAGAGCTTCAGTAAAATGAAGAAAAACAAGACTTGCTCCATTTATCAGCTTTAGCTTGCTGGTTCTCATAAAGCACTTTTCTACTTTACTTGAGCACTCAGAGTGCTTCATACAACAGCCTCATTCACCCTTTCACACACATTTATACTCAAAGAGCAATTTCAGGTTAATCACAGCCTCCCGTAAAAATATGTTTTCTAGTTGTAATCTGCTGAATGAATCATCTGCAAGAGATAAAATCATCTATTAAAATATTCTTAATATTCTGTGAGCAAACAAAACAGAGAAAGGTGAGTGTTTGGTTTGAAACTGAAATGTTCCCACAGCTGTGTTTCTGCTGCTGTGTGACAGGCTTCACCCTGAGCTGAATACTTTAATTACAAAGTGAGGAGGAGACTCATGTGACTTTATTGTAGCTGCTCGCTGTCACAGCTGTGTCTCATTCTCTCAAAGAGTCTACAGAGCAGTTTAACAGTGTGTGGCTCCCTCTAGTGGATGTTGTGGAGTATTCTGTTGTCTTTGCTCCAAAGGTTTTTGTACAGAGTTTTGCTGTTTCCTGTC